TCGTATCACTGAGTGATATAAAAAAGTAAACGATCGTGTAGAGGGCCTCAAAAGAAGTAGCATAGTAAACAGATGTTGAATGCTAATTAGGAGTTATGTAGCTAAGAATCGAAGGGCTTAGCATGGGCAATAACATCAGTGCTGTGGAGAACCTGTTACGATTCCTAGAGTGGTGCTAGTTTTATTAATAACGAAATGTTGCTTTTTCTTTTTTCGCAATTTTTTTATTGTTCTTGTCGTTATGAGAACAAATAGATGCTCTTTTTAGATGCAAGTTCCGCAACATTCCGAGCAAGTTGAGCGGCTGGAATGTAGGGAAGTGGTTGAGTTCACTTACAAAGCGATAACTATCAAGAAAATGCTTCCATCGCTGAACATCTGCGATAAAGTATGTGATAATTTGTCGATATTTTCTAATCGAATTGACAGTACAAAGCAAGAATTCCTCTGTTTTCCAAAAAATACTAGAAAATTATTCCGAGTAATTGCCGATAATTTTTCTTTTTCGTAGTTCTTTTGAGCAAGTTGAAAGCAGTTTTCCTCTCTAATATTTTGAGACAGTTTACATTCTTGGCATTTTACACGCACCAATAATATGCATTCCAGTGGTCACACGGTTAAAGCCTAATTTTGAAAATTCCTAAAAATTCCGAAAAGTGCATGCACGAAAAATTGCTGTGCACAAGTACAAGCATTTTATAAATAATCATAATAAACACTCATGTAATATTTCAGCTCTCTGTTCGAATGGATGAACGCGGCATCTTATCCATACAGTTTATGATTGAACAAACTGAAAATGCTCATACCTTCCTCGAATTTTACGTGAGTTCTATTAATTTTTATGCATTTTTGCTGCTACTGTGAGCAGAAACACGTACTATCGAGTGAGTGTGTATGTGTGTGTGTGTTCGGAAGCGAGTGAACTTTGTCACCCACTTTCACTTCAGCAACTAGAAAAGCTGGGAGACTGAGATTTTGGGGCCATATTCCCACCCCATGTATCACCCTTCCTTTTTAAAACCTTCGCTCATACTCGCCTAGATCCCGCGTACGGAAGCTCGAGAAAAATACGCAGATTTCTTTGGTGGGAAACGATTTCGTGAACTAGACAAGATGGGAAGCTAAAACCTTGCAGTGATATTTTCTGTGCATATTGGAGCTAAAGGTTTCAAATTCAACTATCGCACACGCTTATACTGCGCGTACGGTCTCTTCAGAGTTCGCATTTGGGCGCTGTGCTAACTCGAAAACTAGCTGGAAAACAATAGCTGAAATTTTGTCAGAATATTTATTGTTCATATGGAAAGTCGAATACCTGAATTGAGTTTTGATTTGCACTTGCGCCTCGATTTAGGGCACTTCAAAAATATTTGTAGCGAAGTGGCTTTTTCGCTTACCGGACAAGCTGCGAAGCTACAACTTTGTAACGATATCCTATATTCACGCTTGTTCTAAATTCAGCATGGAGCTGAAATTCCTTGCACGGGCTTAAAAAATTTTATCGCAAGCTCGAAAGCGAGTGCATTTTGCAGATTTCGTAATCCTTTTCCGACTTCCTTCAAATTTGCACTTTTTTTTTCCAACGAATGAGTATTCACCAGCAAATCGACCGGGCTTTATGCAAAAAACTGATAGTCATGCACGCTGAAGGTCCGTGCGGGCTCGGAATGCAACACCTTCATCCCAGCTGATGCCGTATCCCTCTGCATTCGGGAAGAGGTTAAAACATAG